TTGAGATTTTTCTCATCAGTCTGGTAATGAAGCTATGGAGAAGGACAGCAGGCGTTCCACCTGTTACTGCACTGATAGTGAGCAAGCTGAAAGATTACATTTCCCTTCTCTTGAAACAAGCTTTTGATAATCTGCTTATACCCTCAATACATCACTACATTTTTTTGAATCTTTTTCCTTTGGTTAGGATGAAACAAAAATTGTATGTCTAAAAATATATAAAAATGGATATATATTTAAATATACAGTTTATAGATATGAATAAAATATTATTTATATTTATTTAAATCTATTTCTGGCCAGTGAAAAGTTTTTCATTTGTCTGCAGCTTTTATCTAAAAAAGATACCTATTTCTTTTTGAAAGAGCTGAAATTTTATCGATGTGCTTCATTTGTACCCAGGATGCTTTACGTTTCTCTAATATTGCAAATGATTGCAGCAGAGATTGGATTAAGACTGGTTCCAGTCATTGTCCATAATAGGTATTACAAATGTCATAATATTAACAGTAAAGGTAGCAATAGCAGTTCTACTGTCCAAGCTTCAGATCCTAGTTTGCTACATACAAGAAGCAGTAGCAGTATCTAAATTAAGCAACGTCTTCTATGTGTCTAATCAAGGTGTCATGATTGTTTCTCTCCATTGGCTGTGTAGGTTATACGGTATGTGTACATGTCTCTGTAATGTTCTGAATCACTTTTAAGTTGAATTTACTTTATTATCTGTGCATTTCACAAACCTACCCACATCACCACTGTGAAATCGAAAAAGAATTCTCTCCTTTTTTACAGACAGGCAGCTGAAGAACTGATGACTTGACTTGAATAATTTTAGGTCAATGTATAGATTGTAATGACTTCAGTAGGCTTCCAGTCACCCCCAAAGAGTTTAAATATTCAGAATCCTACTGGTTGCCTATATCAGATCTAGAAATTAAACCCAGGTACATTGAGCCAAGCATCTTCCTCTTTCTGACACAACAGCTCCTAAGTGAAACGTATTAAAACCAATATGAAATTTTACTTGAGTAAAAGTTATTTTTATATTTATTTATGCTAGAATTGTAAACTGTAGTGAATATATGCAGAATCTGAGCTCCCCTGTAGCAGGAAAATTAAGACTTTTTTAAAAGGAAAACTCTCTATGTACACCTATTTTTTAAGTTATCACACAGTGGAGCAGTGTACTTTTTATTTTACCTTGCTTGAATGTGCAAATGAAGCCCCATATCCTTGTCACTCTATGAGAAAAGAAGTGAATATGACATGCATCTAAGCAATTACACTTGTAAAACACTCTTATATGTGAAAATGTGATAATAGCTAAGATTCATTACAACAGACTTGGTACTCGCGGCCTGGTTTTGCAGCTACATTTAATGATGGGGTGACCTCATCAATTCTAACGACTCTACAATAGCTAAGGGTTGCATTTTACCAGCATTTAATATAAGCTATAAATAAAATACATCTTTCATCTACTTTGAAAGTGGGCCATGAAACAAAGGTGAATTCCAGGCAATAAACAGAACCAACAAGTCAGGTAGGCATATGCAATACTTTTTCTCTGCATGAGCTTGTTGGTTTTGTCCAAAGATTTATTCCAGTTACTGTTGCCTGCTCCTGCAGTTGCAGAATACTGGTGTTGCAGGTATTAGAGCTTAAGAGGACACTCTTTGTTTTATACACAATGGGTATTTTAGTAATTGTAAATGATCACTCAAGTATATTTTTTAACTTATGCAGATATTTTCCTAGCATTCCTATTCCGATTGTAGCATATAGCCTACCAATAACATACTGGCTGAGTACAAAATTAGACTTTGTTGTAACAAAGTTCAGTGTGAAGTAAGACACGCTGACCTATACTGAGGCTGAATTTGTCCTACTTTCTGTTTATGGATGGAGACGGAGATAAAAGTTACTGTGTAACCTGAGCACACCAGACTTCCCTAATAGTTCACTGTGTTGATATATTTAAAAGATTTTTTTCAATAGAAATGGAAAAGCAATTCCATTTTCTCACTAGTCAGAGTTTTAAATAGATGTAGGAACAGCCTGTGTTCTCTGCTTTCTAGCATATTCAGCTAGGTTTAGGTTCAGAGAGGTGTTCTTACATGATCCATTTCTTGGTACCGAAGAGAACACAAATGAGTAGATCTTAGATTTTATAGTCCGCATTTCATATTTTTTTCTTTACTTTTCCTATGTTACTTTAATACTTTCTTTGCACATTTATTGTTTTTGAGGAGTATACATATGTGTGTCAGATTTATAAAGCTGGGCATGTGAATGTTAATAAAGTGGTAGGTATGTATGGCATTATTTGCATATGCAAGCAATGTAAGCTTGGTTACGAAGTCAGTAGTGTACTATAGGCCTACAGTTAAGTTATAAAAGATACAAAAAGTAACAACCACTCAAATTTTTTTTAAAAGCAAAATCTTCACCTGACCCCATGCATTGCACGCACATGCATTATCTGTTACACTCACAGTAAATTCCCTGCATGAGTGTGCTTCCACACATATGTTTGTTGTCTGTGCTACAGTAGTGCCTAAAGGTTCATATGCAATTGCAACTCAAATTATTTCAGGTAAATTGAATCAAATGTCTCAGAGATTAAAATCTCTGGTATGAAAATTTTTCTGACACACTGCCTTGTATAAGGTGCTCAGTCCAGCACTTATTCTGCTTCTTGGACAGGTTTCATGCTGAGCTTCATGCTGGGGTGGTTTCACCACCATCGGTGTCTGCATGGTCCACCTGGGAAAAAGCAGCCAGCAGGACAGGAACGTGTGTAACAGTGCAGGTCAGTGGGACACCAAACTGCCTGAGAGAGCATTTTACCCCAGACTGATAATGCTGAATAGGAAGATGACCATCAGCAAGACTAAAAACTATCCAAGGAGCTACGGAGACTTTTGAAACAGAGGAGTGAGCAAAAACAAGCAAAACACAAGGATTTGTAGGGGGTGGGAGAAGACAGGAGCAGGGAAGCAAGGAGGCTCGTGTGACCCTGCCAGACGTGGCCCCACAGCACTGTGGGCTCTGCCTGGGCCTGGCAGCACGGCCCTGCCACAGGCATCCCTAGCCGCTCCCTCAGCTTGCCCAGATCCAGCACAGGGGCACCCCAGGACCTGCACCCTGGGGATGTGGGATCACCTCCCAGGGGCTGTCACACACCCCTGGGCAGGCAACCAGAGCACTCAGATCTCCCAGAGCAGGGGGTCCCACATGCCCAGACAAGGGGATTCTGCGTGCCCCCATGGCTTATGGCTGCGGGAAGCACCTGTTTGGGATTAGTAATACTAGGGTTTTTAGAAATCATGGAATCATAAAACACCAGGTTGGAAGGGACCTCAAGGATCATTTGGTCCAACCTTTCTTGGCAAAAGCACTGTCTAGACAAGATGGCCCAGCACCCTGTCCAGCTGAACCTTACAAGTGTCCAATGTTGGGGAATCCACCACTTCCCTGGGGAGATTATTCCAACAGCTGGTTGTTCTCATTGTGAAAAATTTTCCTCTTGTGTCCAATCGGAATCTCCCCAGGAGTAACTTGTACCCATTACCCCTTGTCTTTCCCATGTGACTCCTTGTAAAAAAGGAGTCTCGATCTTCTTTGTAGCCACTCTTTAAACACTGGAACATGGTGATAAGTGTTTATTTATGTGTATAACATTTTGCAACTGTCTGGGAATATGATATATCTGTTGCATTGCTGATATTGATCCTAAATCTATAGTTCACTGATTGTTGATTAATTATATGTTGCTAATAAATCAGAAAACCCCTTTGATCCTTGGATCTCTGTGGATTGGACATATTTTCCCAGTGACAATGTTCAAGCTATCTGGCTTAAGACTAGCTTGCATGAATCAACCTAATTCTGGAAGTATCCCAGCTGCATTGCAGATATTTCTAGTTGGAGGGACTAGAAATACAATGTCACCAAAATTAAAACAAAACAAATATTTGGAATTATGGTTATATTATTTTATATCAAATATGGCATATAGAGACCAAAGTGTGGAAATATGTATTATAGAGAGTTTATTAGTATTTCTCTAAGATGACTTTGGTAATTTGATTTGTTTCTTCAGACATAAAAAATATAGATATCCCATAGATACATTATAGCCCTGTATGTCACAGCAGATGCACTTCCCCTCAAAGAGGTTGGTATTTTGAAGATAGTTAAGAATTATTGATATAGAAATCCAATTCAGTCTAACAGACTTGCACATTTGTATCTCCTTAAGTCTAAAAATTACAAAAATATATACACTGTTCTAAAGGACTGATTTTATAAGAACACACAATGGGAAATTCAAAGCAGATGGCTAAATTCATGCATCTCCTGTAGTTCAGCCCTTGAAACCTACTGAGGATTCAGCCTAATGAAGACTGGCAGTGTCACATTCATGCTGCTCTTCTCTACTCTCTTATCATTGTTGGTTTTAACATTTTTATTACATATTAACACTTGTTCACTTGCCAGAATATTCTTTTGAACTTTAAGTTGAAGAGATCCTGAAGCTGGCATCCTGAAGAATGCAGTTTCACTCCAGCTTGTGGATACTACAGAAAAGCCAATGATGTAATGGAAAGAGAGGGGCAGAAGCAAAAGCTGTCATGTTTTCGTGCCTCTGTTAAAACATGTTGCATTATTTACAATACTCTACTAATGTAATTTAGCTTGGAACACGATCAAAATTAAACCATATTTTTTAAATAAAAACTTAGCTTTTGGTCATGTTCCAAACAAAACTACATTAATAGGGTGCTGTAAATACTGCAATTTTAAAGGAGGCACTAAAACATGATAGCTTTTCCTTCTGCTCTGCTCTGAGCTGTGCTCCTCTCACCTCCTATAGTATCCTGGATTCTCCCAACCTCAAGGTCACAGTCTGGATGAGAATAATGACATTTCAAAAGAGTTAATTGGTGACAAAAACATTGTTAACAAGACTATTGAGGAAATGAACTATGAAAAAGCTCTTTTTTGGTGTTTGAAGCATTGAATCCTAAAGGTGCAATCAGTAATGAATTGATGAGGAAGTGTGGCAACTTCTAAAAAAAAAAATCTCACAGATACAACAGTCACAGCACATTTCAGGGAAATGGGAGACATAGTCATTTTCTCTGTCTTTCTAACTGTTTTCCCTTTCTTATTCCAGTAATAGCACCCTGTCTGTGCAGCAGCTCTGGCCTTGTCACTTTTCCCTCACCCTGCATATAAAGGAATCAGATTAACCAGGGGAAAAAAAAAAAGTTGTCAGTGCTCTGTTTTTTTTTATTTTTTAGGGGTTTTTTTGTACAGGTTGTCAGGTGATTTCCATTGGAACTGACTGGAATTTTTTTGTCAAATTGTTGTTTTTGAAAGTGCAAATTTGTGAAATCACAGAAAAAGACCACAAAAAATAAAATAGTCATGTTAACGTATATATGTATTTCCCAGTACAGCCTGAAGGCTGACGGTCAGGCAGTCACCTGGGTATGCAAGTATTTCAATATGAATAGTTTACCTGCCTGATTCCTTCCTTTATCAGCTGCATAGGCCTGGGCTGAGCTTTACTTTCTCGTTTCACTTCTGCATACCTTCTCTCTCCTTCTTTCTGTCCTCACCCATATGCTCCTCTGCACTTATTCTGTTGTTTTATGTGAAAATCTTCGATAGCAGTTTGTTTAATATTAATAAGGACATGTAGTGATGATAAGAAATGTACTGATACTGACTTTTTCTCATCACCTTGGGCAAGAATAATTTGGAATAATGGTTTTAAGTATTTAACTTTCTGAAGATTAGTAAAATTTATAACTTAATCATTGAAAGGGTGTTCCTGAATATAATTATTTCCATAGCAGCATTAAAGAAGAGGCTTATATTATTTTTTTCATCTCACTTTAATATGAAACAACCTCTATCTTTTAAAAAATTGTTACCATACAACTATTATATTATACTTCTGAATTTAGTGACATTGTGATTGAATTTATGGAAATTGTCAAAGCTGGTGTCAAAATGTGAAAATATTCTAATATAATGTCACTGGACTAAAAGCAATTTTATTATAACACTTTTAAAAAAATATTAAATACTTCATACACAATGAAACCTCATATCTACATGGGTCTTAAAATGTACAAAGTATCATGCTATTTCACTTAGTGCTTTATGACATTTAAGTAACAGAAAACAAAACAAAACAAATCTCTATCTATTCCCTAGTACTTCATATTAGTAATTCAGAGTCTGCATTTACCAAAGCTGTATCCTTTCCTATCCTTTCCCTTCCCTTCTCCTCTGGTGTCTCACAGTATAAGTTCAAGAAAAATTGGTCTGAATGTAAGGCAATGAACATTAATAAGAGATTTGTTTTAGCCCACTTATCTCAAAGCCCTCCAAATTCTGACATTTCCTCAATTTCAAGTGGTGTTCAGAGTTTTAAGTTAACTTTATGAATTGCATTGAAAGGTTGGATAAAAACTGTTGTTAGTGGAAGGTCACAATTCTTTTGTAGGCATTCAATGGTATTATAATAGTTACAATTCAGGGATAGTTTCTAAAGCAAATTGTTATGGTCAAAAGCAAATGGTACAGCCATTACAGAAAAAAATTATTTATTTTTGCACATAATATGAGGGCCAGGCTCTTAACTTGACATAAATGCAAGATCTTAAATAAAGGTATGGAAATTAATTCCATCTGATGACCTAGTCAAATTTGTATTTGTGGGTTTTGACAGTGGCACAGGACATTATAGTATACTGGAGCAGCAGGCTGCACAGCTCTTAACACACACGGTGAGCAGTTACCTGCTACCAATAAACCATCATGATCTATGTAAACAAATGGTATAAATGGGATAAATAATCATAAGGCTACCTGAAATTATCTTCTACTTTGAAAATGAGTGCGTTTCAATGAAATATTAATAACATTTTGTCCTTCTTTTTAAAATATGACCCACATATGACAAATACTTCCATAGACAAAGGACAAGAATGATTTAAAAAAAAAAAAACAAAACTGTAGTATGTAGGAAATTGTCACGTGTATTTTTTTTCATCAGTAAAAACGGTTTTGTTCTGATTAACATGGTATAGAAAATAAAAATAAGGCAGTGACATAAAATAATATGTGTTGTAAAGTCTACTGTTCTAGTACATTTTTAACAAGTAGTACTTGAGTATTTATTTTCCTTTTTACATGCTTTGTGCTGAAACCAGAATCTTTTATGCCTCCAGTAAAAAAACATACAAAACAAAACCACAAACAAAACCAAAACCCCCAAACCAACACATTTTTTACTCTCTGTGCCTACCCTGTGGAGAACAGACTGCAATCTGGTCATTAAAGATGCAACAGAACAGAGTAACTTCAGTGGCTAAAAAGAATTCCTTTAAACAAGATGAATTATTTTGATTTTAAGAGCTCTGTTGGAAGCTAAAAACAATAGACTCAGTAACTCAGTAGAAAAATAATTAAAATGACTGTCATTTACGCAGACCTTTTTATTCAAAGATGAAGGTTATTTTCCTCTCTGTCAGTTCCACTGCACCAGTGGAGGGGAGAGGCTGGCACTGGTGCCCATGGCAATTGCTAAACTGTGGCGAGGGGTGGCTGGCAGTGCCTACTGGTGTGGATGGAGGGAACCAGCTGCTGCAAGTTCCAGCGGCTGCTGCAGCAGACCTCTATGCTGGTTATTTGGACACATTATTGTTCTACCAAGTAGTTGTACAGTCTTAGCCAGAAACAAGAAAAATACTACCATCTTTATGAAATCTATGTTCTAAAATCAGTCTCATTTCCAAGAACTGTCTTTTCAGCTCAGCCATCTGTCCCCTCTGAACGTAGCTGACTATCTATGTTCAATAAGCAACTTATCTTTAATTTGGCTGTCATTCAAGAGTTTTTATTCTTCAAATAAGTGGATTCTCTTGGTGATTTCCACGGCTGTACTGCAATACATAGGTTGATATAGGTGTATTTTTTTCACAGCTTGATTTTTCAGTACAAAAAACGGGAGTTATTTCAGTATTAAATTATTACAAATTTTACCAGTGTCTCATTAGGGACTGAAGTGAATAGTAGTGAATGTTATCAATTTGCCTGGGTATCAGGGAGGTTCCTTTGTTTAAGGAGAAAGAGAAAAATTAAGAGTAAGAAAGCAAGTATGTATATTTTAAAGGCCATGGTTAATCTCAGCCAACTTCAGTTGTCTAAAAATTAGGCAAAGAGTCTCAGCTGGTTTATTTTCCATGTCAAGTTAATGGAGAGAACCTCTAGGCACTTCCAAAAGATATATAGATTTGCTATCCTGGGATGGAATGACTCATCCTCTGGAATTGCTTATTTTCTCTCTTGTCTGTAAAGAGAGACTAAACTACTAACTTAAATTAAACCAAATTTTGGATAACCAGATGATGAGATAAATCCCATCCTCTGAGTGAGAATATTAGCAGATATGAATTGATACGTGAATAGCCACTCTAACTTTAAATTGTTTGCTATCAGGACTATTTTATACTTCCTTGGTGTTAGCTTAAACACTTCATTTCTATTAAAATGGATAATAAACATAAATAAACTGCTACTTTTTTTTTTTTTTTCATTTTATAGCACATATAACACCTGCAGTTTTGAATAAGGGTTGCCACATATTATTCCTCCCATAAGTAAATTATTTAACAATCCCTTGACTTTCCAACATGAAAGTTTGACTCCAGCAGGTGGGATGATAGCAAATATCATATCAACATTGCAAATGATATCAGGGTAAGAAAAAGTTATCAACATGCAAATATAGTGCCTCCAAATTGTTCACTCCATTAAAGACATCTCTTCTCTGTATGATAAACCTCAAGAAGAAAGCTGTCTTGTTTATGCAATTGGAAATACAATTTTCCCCATATGCACAAAAAATAACTCAGTGACAAGGGATTCCCTTTTGCTAACTTCTCTGAACATTTGTTTTAATTAAATTGGATACTGAAAAAATGCTGTTGTGGCTAAAAGCTTGATTAAAAATTATATAAGCAAACGCATAAAACATAAACATAAATTTAGTAATAAAACTTGTGTGATAAATAGGAGAGGGGTATGGGGTGACCTGGGCCCTAGACTAAATGGTGTGGACTGGCTTATAGCCCCACTAATTAGGTCTGGTTACCTTTTTAGTGGACTGGTTGAATCCACAACCTACAAATTGTTCTGGGGTCTTCTCTGTGACCTCCACATATAATTTAAGTGGTTTAGACATGTTTTTCTCTGCTCAAATTATTTGAAGCAATGCAAACTCTATATTGCAGTTTTTATAGTCTGAAATTATAGTGCCTGTAGTGTGTTCTGTGAAATGGCAGGAAAACAGGTGGAACATTTGGATGTGTAAACTCTGCTGTGTGAGATGGAGGGAGCCAAACCTGGCTCAGCCTTGTGCTGTCTGCTCTTTGGGAGTGATTCATGCTGAAAATCTCTCAAGCAATGTTCATGCTTCGTCACTGAGAGTGCAAGCTGAAGTAGTCTAAAACACAGCTAACAGTTCAGCAGCACAAACAGTCAAAACCACAAGTTATTTGTTGCCTTTTTTTCTTTAACAGTGTAAACATACTTAGTTCAGTTCTCCTGGAGCTTAGAGAAACAAACATTCATTGGTCCATGAAATTTCAGAGTTTGTTTCCATTTGGTGCTTGGGGCTTCACCATCAAAGCAGATAATGAAAGAGGTCTGAGCAAGTTCTTGGTCCTTCCTCAGCATCCCACTTTTCTCCAAGAGTTCCCAGACAATGTCTATGCATATTAAAAAAAAAAAAAACAAACAACCAAACAAAACCAACAACACTTTCTCTGCAGGCTACACAACATACCCAGGTTAAAGCAGATTTAAAAGCTCTCATGTTTACACAGCATTTCTACCAAGCTTTGGTTAGAAGTTAGCCAAAACCATTATTATATACAGTTTTTAACCAGAATGTGATACTTAAATTGCCTACAATGAAGTTTAAA